TTTTCTTGGCTTGCGCTTTCACCGTACCGGTCTCCGCTGTACCGGGTGTTGAGGAGCATTCGGAGATTCGCCCTGAAGGGGATGAGGTTTCGGATGAGCCGCCTATGTTGGTAGAGGCTTCGGGCGGTGTAAGCAAGGTAACTCATCGCGTCGTGGGTAAGCGCCCGGAGTCGCCGGACGATCCTTCGGGCCCTGATGACGGTGTTCGTTGTCCTGACGCGTTTCCTCTTGAGGCTCCCCCGTTACCGCCACCGTCGGAACCTCCGGCCCCTGTCAAGACCCGGACCTTGTTCCTTGGGGTTCCTTTGCGGTCTAAGCGCTCTAAAGAGGTTTTTCCGGCCGTTCAGGCGGTCATTAATCGCTTGGAGTCGTACGGTTTTCCGGTACATCGGTATCATGCTGACCGTGCCCAGGAGCTCCGGGCTCGGCCTTTGGTTGACTCCTGGTGAGGAGGCTCCTGCTGGCAACAAAGCCGAGCTGGCGGTGCAACAGCTTAAGGGATTGGCTCGTAAGCTGCTTGCCGTGGCGGAGTTGGGCCCGAGTTTTTGGCCCTTGGCTGTGTTGCACGCGAGTCGCCGAAACTGGGTGCATCTTTGCAGTGATTTGGGGATACCTCAGCCACTCTTCTCCCATTCGGCGTGCGTTTGCAGGCGCGTCAGCGTCACCGGTCTGGGTTTGCGTCTCACTGGAGGTCTCGCAGCCTGGATTGTATTTGGGCCAGGCCCCGGACACGCCGGGCGGGCACCTTGTTCTTGTGGACTGGATGGGGAAGAGAAAAAGGTGTTGTTGACTAATACGGTGTATCCCCTCGGCCCCAAGACCCCCGAGCTCAAGAAACCTAAGTATCGCCTTCGAGGTAAGAGTGCACCGGATTTCGTGCTCAGGACGGCGCGTGTGTCTTCGACTTGCGTTGCGGTGCCTGATGCGCAGGGTTCCTTGGCCAGGTTGTCACCTGGGGGGGAGTGGGGTAAAGGTGAGCTTGAGTCGGATTCGGAATCGGTGCAAAATGAGTTTGCGTCCGACTTTGCTTTGGCGCGCGGGGATGAAAAGCTTGCTAAGAAAACTGTTTTGATGTATCTGGCAGATTTCACCTCGATGCAGATGGGGAGCCGAGTAAGTTGCTAGATGAATGGGACGCGAGCCTAGGCGGTCTAGGCTGCTTGCATTTGTGTAGGGACTCGGAGGCATTCTTAAAATCCTGCCTAAAGGCTGAAGATTATGAGTTTGACATTTGTTTGGAGGTGCTGCGACGATGTGTGAAGAGGTTCCCCTCACCTAAACGGTCTATCCTCGAAGGGGACAGAACCTACGCGGTCCTAGGACTGTATTGTCAAGGAGGTCTGAGGGGTATCACTCGCTTCGCTAAAGGAAGCGAGGACCTCACATCAATCGTTTTGTCGCACATCATTACCCGGAAGGTCAATGGACTACGCTTTACCTATCACGAAACACTGTAGCTCCTATGCATCGTGATGCCCGGAATGGTAACGGAAGGCTCGCCTGGATAGTAGGCCTGGGGCAGTTTCAAGGCGGAGGCTTGTGGATCGAAAAATGTCAAGGGCCAACGTTGAGGAAGCTGCCGGATGGCAGGGTAAAGCCCGGAACAGTGCTTAACATCCATGATGAACCTCAGCTTTTTGATAGTACAGGGTGGCATGAAGCAGACGCCTGGGTTGGTGAAGATCACTGGGGGTGATTGTGGCATATGCTCCACGGGATTTTCAGGCCGTTGTCCCTTTGTACCAGGATGCTTTAAAGGGTCTGGGGTTTCCAGCGCAGACTCTCCTGAACGATTCGACGAGAAGGGATGGGGAGTACGGTGTAAGTTGGATGTCGAAGCTCAAGGATATTGAGTATGATGGAGGAGCTTCAAAGCATTGGGGTGCCTCTCGTTTGGAGGGTTGTGGGCTTGATCTTTGGGAAGTTGATTTTCCGTGCGAGTTGTTGGGCGAGGAGTCCTATGGAGCCGGAGTGGCTATGCATCAAGCTGCTGTGCACTTTAAGACCCAAACAGCTCGAGAGCTCACCGACGCTGTAAGGAACGGGTATGGACGTGAAGTTGTCGAAATGCTTCGGGTTGCCCGGTTAGAGTGTGAATGGTACGAAAGTCTCTTGGCGCGGGAGCAGCCGGCTGTAGAGCTTCAAGGCAGCATTAGGGCCATTTGTACGGATGAACCCATGATCCAGAGCCTGATGAGATTTTTCTTCAAACTCGTACGATTAGCTTGGAGCAAGCTAGGCAAGAGTTGCTTGCCGCTCTGGAGGCCAGCAGCCCTAGAGGAAGTACAAAGCCTAGAAACAGTCACTCAAGCGGTCGAGCGTGTCAGTACTCAGGAGGTGAACAATAAGTGGGTGTCGCAGGGGTAGAAGGTGCTGCAAATCCCGGGAAAGGCTGTCCTGACAAGAAAGGCTGGCGTAGGTCGCCGGCGATTCAGAGCAGTTTGCTGCGGTAACTGCCTGCAACAGGACCTTTCCGCCGATAGTCTTTACGCGGCAGGTGTAGACGCAGCTACGGTAAGGACTGTGATCGCGTTTGTCTCCCTCCAGCGCCACTGGGTGGGGGTAGTTGCGGACATAAAAACCGCCTTCTTGCACGCCCCGCTGCAGCAGGTCAGCCAGCAAGAAATTTGGATTGTGAAACCGCCGCACCTCCTGGTTGACCTGAAAATTTTGGAGCCACCGACAGGTGGCGTATCCTTAAGGCGCTGTACGGGCTCAAGACCAGTCCGCGGGATTGGGCAATGTACCGCGACGCTACGGTCAACCTGGGCGAGAAGGTGTATCGGTTCTTTCAGGCGCAATCAGACGAAGCCTTATGGCTAATTCGAGTTCCGGGTCTGGAAATCGAGGCGGTAATGATAATTTACGTTGATGACTTTATTGTTTTTGGCGCGCTAGCCTTGTGTCGTGCAGTCATCGAGGTGATACAGCATACTTGGAAGCTGTCAGACCCGGAGTGGCTAGAGGTAGGGAAGACGGTGAAGTTCTGCGGTCTGGAAGTGGTACGTACGGCGTCCGGGTTCCGAGTAACGCAAGAGTCATATCTGACAGAGCTATTAGCCAAGTACAGTGTCGATGACGTGGCGCCTGTACCGATGGTGAAATGGCACGAACCGGAAGAGCAGGAAGAGTTTGGGCTGGCTGACGTCCGCGCAGCACAAGCTCTTACAGGGGCTCTATTATGGATGTCCACGCGGAGCCGTCCGGACATTTCGTATACGATTGCCCGCGTGGCTCAGTACTCCACTAAGTCCCCGAAATTTGCGGTGGCTATGGGCCATCAAGTTCTTCGTTATTTGAAGGGAACTGCCAGCATGGGGTTAGAGTATACGAACTCCGTCAAGGACATGTGGGCGCCGCATGGGCAGTTGGCGCGGCCACGGACAAACACAGCGCTTGAACTGCACAGTGACGCTTCGCACGGGCCAGCAGGCGCACGTTCAATGCAATCTTCTTTTGTGCTGTGGCGAGGATCTTTGTTACTCTGGGAATCAATCAAACAGCCGTTTATTACACTGTCATCTGCCGAAAGCGAGCTGGTAAGTATGACTAATACCACACAACTCGGAGAAGCCATGCAGCCAGTAGTAGAAGAACTTTTGGAGGATACGATTAGCTTGATGTTACTCGGCGACAACACGGCATCGGTTCGAGCTTTCGAGGTCGCGAACTCCAGTTGGCGTAATCGCCATTTGCGCCTTCGGGCGGCTGCCGGTAGAGAAAGAGTAGATGCCGGAACCCTAGTAGTGACCTATCTACCTGGGGACTTTCAGATTGCAGATGTAGGTACGAAGCCACTGGCTAGGCAGAGGATTTTCCAACTTCTTGCGTTGGCCAATGTGAGGGTATCATCGCAAGAAACTCCGGAATCATCGACCCTCAAGGCTTTGAGACGCCTAGCCTGGGATTGGGAAGTTCTGTAGGAATTTCCCCGGCCACTTTGATTGTGTTGATGCTGCTAGCACGGATTCAGCCTGGAGAAGGGTGCCGTAGCAACCTGTACAGTGGGTTGGGGGTATTGCTACTAACAGACGCAATTTCGCCTGTCCAGGCACAGCCATCCAGGGACCTCCAAGCTTGGGCTGGGCGTCGGTCTAGTTTTTGCGGTCGCGGTTGGACTAGTGAGAGTGTGGTGGAGGTTGCGTACCAGGATGTTGTTACATGAAAAACTGACCCCTGAGACGCAGCTCTCACCGAACGTAGGAGCTTTTCCACTTCCTCCCGTAGTCCAGAGTTAGGGTATGTTTCTCCACGGCTACGCGTCCAGCAATCATCCTCTAGTTCAGGAGTCTTGGGACAAGCTGTTGCTCCTCCGGACACCCGCCGTGGCCATGAGACGTTGACCGCTGATGACACCGGGGGCCTTCCTACAGTGCAGATTGGGGGGAGCACGGGTCGTGGAAATGCTCATGATGCCCGTGAACTTCTTGGTGCTGTGGAGACTCGAAATCCTGAAGCAGTGAGTCGCATCCTGCACGGCCTGAGGTCGCAACTGGTGGTGTGGAGAGTACGTGATGAGCAGACGCACTTCTTACGCCGATTGCTGGCTATATTTGGGGAATGTTTTGTAGGTTTTTTAGGGGATAGGTGTCCTGAAATTCGGGAGCTGCGTGAGGTGGCTCGTACTTATCGGTATGGCATAGACCACGCTGTAGACCGGTGTCGGCACCAGTCATACCTAGAGGGATACCAATCGAGGGGCTTGCAAGTGCACGATGTGGCAGGCGCATACACGCAGGCCAATCGATATTTAAACCCGCAAGAAGACAGCAGTGACGGCGATGATTCAGAAATAGACGCGGTGCCTCATAGACTTCAGCTGCCAGATGAGCCTTTGGCACAGGCGGTTCAGCTGTATTTTGCCGGAGGTGAGAACTTGTTCGGGAGAGAATCGGGATCTGGCGATGAAAGTTCAGCAGCAGACCCTATTGCAACTCCCACCTCTGCTTCGCGGCAGGATGATTTGGAGTCCGATGGCGGGGTAGAGCCGACAGGGGCCAATGTGTTGGCATTGGGGGTCGGGGCAACCTAGTGCTGAAGAGGAGTCTTTGCTCGTGGGCTACATTGATGATGTACTTCGCGTCCCCCTTCCGGGTTGGTCGCAGGAAGCCATGCAGACAGTCGTAGATGGTCTGGCGGGCGGGGGTTGGCGGGAGTTTCATGACGCCTTGCGCTCCCAGGGAGCGCCGAGTGATTTTACGTCTGCAGAGGAGTTCACGTACACATGCACAGAAGGGAGTGAAAGTGATTTTACTTCTGCAGAGGAGCCCACGTACACATGCACAGAAGGGAGTGAGAGTGATGTAAATTGGGGACCCCCAAATATTGATGTCCAAGCAGGTGTCGTTGTGGGTTTGTTGACTGGCTTCTTAGGAGGGTTGATTGTTGGAGGATTGTTTGCCGGGGCTGTAGCGCTAGTATGGATTTCGCAACACAGGGCGGTCGGGGTTGGACAATGTGCTGGAACAAACGCTCCGACGAGTGAGCACGCCTATGCTTTCTTTTGTTGTCCTATGCTGGCTTGGGCCTTGGCGGCTCTTGACCGCGCATGGGTATGCTTCAACTCCATTGTATGGGGAGGTTCCCTGTCGATCACCGACCTCTGCCGATTTGTACTTTCAGGGCGGCCCTGTACCTTTCAGTTGCACCTTCCAAGAGCTTCGCGCTCCGTCCCAGATGCCAGTACATCGTGGCTCATGGTGTTCCTGATCGCCTTGATCCTGATCTTTGGTCTCGCAAATCCTGCTGAGGCACACTCGGTGCAGTCAGGCGATGACCGTTCGCTTGTTCTCTTCCGTGAAGACCAGCGTCAAGTAGCCTCATGCCCAAGAGCCTTCAACTCGGACTCGGAAAGTACGGGATTGTACAGCTTAGGTTTGGGGCTCTGTGTGTGTGTCATCGGGGTTTGGGAGATCCTGAAGCGGGCCTTCTGCCGAATCTTGCCTAAGAAGGGCAAATTCAGAACAGCTGCGAGTCAGACCGAAGACCAAGCCTTCGTGCCTACGCCACTACCAACGGGCGTCCCAGGTAGGGCTAGGATTTTGTTTAGCTTATGGAGGGCGGGCTTCGCTGTAGATACAGACTGCTATCCGGAGGAGGTCCAAAGGTGTGTTGGAGCATACCTGTAGAGAAGTGCCGAAGATGAAGGATCATCCGACGAATCCGGATAAAGCAGACAGAGTTTGTAAGCAAAGTGCTTGCGGACTCACCGCCAGCTAGGATCTAAGAGGGGAGTGCGAGCTGTTGATCTGGAGGATCAGGCTTTTATAGCTATCGGGCTTGTCTTGGTAGTCAGTTCTCAAACTCCTCTGATGCTCTTGAGGCTGGCCCGGATGCCAGAGCGGCCCTAGGATTCAACGTTCCTGAAGGGAACAGTTCCTCATTGCACAGCGCAGGCTGAGGAATGCTGGGAATCGGGTCGGGCTTTTGTCCAAACATTTCGCTAATCACTCACGTGGCACTATGGCCAAACCACCGAGTGCCTCTAAGGGAGATCGGCAGAATCTTTTGCAAGACTCTCTGTCGCCAGTGGTTTGGAACTGCTGGCGAGGGGGAGTGCGTGAGCTCCCTGGCAAGGTACGCATCTGCAGGCTGTTTTTGTTCGAGAAAGGCATGGATCCGGCCTCTTGGGTAGGGTTATAGGGGGTTTGGTAGGAACTCCGCTAGCCAGTTAACTCAATTGGGGGTGGTCCTAAAAGCAAAACCGTGGGGTCTTTTCCTACTTTACGTACTCAACCCTAAAACACCCCAAGACCTGCACCCTAAAAAGCCCTAAACCCTAAACCCTGAAACCCCTAAACCCCGCAAGTGATAAATTTGTTACCATAGGGATCTGTATAGCCTATCATAAAGGGGGGAGGGGGGGTACTTAGTAGACCTATCTTCAATAAATGTGTCTTAGTGTCACTTAGGCCCCTCAAACCCCTTGAAACCCCGCACGGCCTCGAAGTCTTCGGGCGCAAAAGCGGTTTGTTGCGCCACAAGCAGTTCCAGCAAGGCGTGAAAATGTCCAGCAACATGAACCTTCTGGCGGCTCGCGAACTGTCTCATCTTGAGGACACTGCATCGCTTCGGCGGCAACCACGAACATGGCACATCTGCTGTGGTGCTCTCGATGCGAAAAGCTCGCTGCAGTGGGGCCTCGCAAAACTCGTGCATCCTGTTTGATGGTCTCATGGCCAGGCAAACCTTGATGTCTGAGATTAGCTGCGAGTTGGCAAGGCGGCGGGCTCAGCGTGACCCATTTGAGTTCATTCATTTAGACCCTTCAAGCAAGTCCACCTACAATTTCCTATGCCCCATGCCCCGGAACTGCCAAAACGAATCCTGAGCCCAGCCGGGTTCACGTAAATTTTCCTTTCAAGCCCTTGCGATTGCACAAAACGAACCACCCAAATGAACAAGAGAGCGGGTGCGTGATCACGGGATTTGCTTGAAAAAGATTTTTAAAGTAACTCCGCTAGCTTTCCCAAAGGCTGGCTTTGGTGACATTTTGAAGGCAACTCCGCCAACTCCGCCAACTCCGCCAACGCTCTCAAAGGCTGAGGAGAATTGACCTGGCGGACACCGCAGCGTGTTCCACCTGGATGTTGGCTATCTGAACCGTTCCTTCAATGCATCTTCAGGGGCCCTCTCCTTCCAAAACCAGTGGCACAACACGGCACAACTTGCGAGGTGTCAGGTGGGTTTTTTCATTGCACTTCGCAACCTGTGGGGTATGTTCGACCTCGCAGCTCCGTGGGCTGTGCCTTGGCGCCATTTAGCGTCAATGAGGCTGACATTGACGGAACAAAGGGCCAATTCCAGTGTCTAATCCTGGCTTACGATCTACTTGGAGACCTTGAACTTATTGAAGGCAGCCCTCTCCAAGACCTTCCCGGTTGACGATTTGGGAGGACGACTCCTTCGACTACATCGGCTCCTACGTGGAGGTACGTGGAGGTAGATGACGAGAAGAGGTGAGGGTCACCCAAAGTACGCGGAGACCAGGCTCTTCGAGCTGGACATCCTCCCGGGCCGACTTGACGAGGGCGCGGCCACTTAAGAGCAAAAGGCGGACAACAGATCACGAGTGGAGGCTTTGTCGTGCCCAGCAGCTGCAGAAAGATCCGACAGCGGGGGACATCAAACTCTCGGATGCGTTGTCTCGTCGGGCAAAGCAGCACACGGGGTCCGTCTCCCCGTTCTACGTCCTGACACCGGAAAAAGAAGAAGAAGAAGCAGGACGGATTCGACATGGACCTTTCGCATAGTGAGGAAGGCCAAGGGGCCTCGAGCTCGGAGGTTGTTCTTCCTAACCGGGAGAACTTTCATGGAAGGAGAAGCTCAGCCGATCATCGCTACTAAGTCGTTTCGGGTCCCCCCCCGCTATGCATTCTTGTTGTGTGTTTCTCAGGATTGGAAACGCATGTCGGGGGCCCCCCACCTAGGTTCCTGAAAAAGTCTCTAAGGAAATGAAGCAAACGGCGATGCATCATATGAGCGAATCTCCACGAATTTCCTTATTGCTCTTGATGAACGAGGAGAACCAGCACGGTCGCACCTCCGCTACATTACCAGATAGTCGAGATAGGCCGAGACCGAAGGGTGCCCTCGGACAGACGACTCGCCACGATGGCCAGGGCTTGAGAAGACAGGGCAGGCTAGGGTGCCCACAGCTCGGCAACTACCAGGCCTATGAAGCCACGTGGTGGCAGGATGTTTGTAGAGCGGTGAAACTATCGTTCATAGAAGCTCGCTTTTGAGCAGTGTCAATCCGAGAAGTGACAGGATGTGTTTCGACACCGAATCGCCGCTGGAGGCACAAGCGTCAAGCTTCAGCTAGGGGGTGAAAAGGCATGGGCCCGCGCTGTGCGATCTTTTGGGTTTAGATTCAGTTTAGATGTATCCATGCATTCGGATGACTCCCCGGGCGCAAGCAAACCCAGAGCCCTCTGCGAACTCTGCAGTGACTGCGGAAACGAGCCACGGGCAGAAACGAAAGTTCTGTCCACGAGCGTCTACAAGGAGACCACTGGGCAGCACAGCAGAGAATGCAGGAATTGCATGGAATTGCATGGAATTGCATGATACTCCGACGACTCCGAGGGTGTCGGACCCTCGCAGCATCAGGGGCCATGCACACAAGTCATGAATGGCATGAGCCATTCATGACCCGTCGGACCCGTCACGCAGTGAGCCTCCGCGACGGGCTGCCAAGAAGGGACGAGGCCCGGCATCAGGAGCATTAGCAATCATTAGAATCAGGGTCACGGACCACCAAGGTGAGACGTTTAAGTTTCTGCTGACCGGGCATGTGGACCTCAACTGCATGTGACAAGCGGCCATTGAAAAGCGGCCCCTGTGGGCACACACGGCGGCAGGCAAGGACGACACTCCTTCGAGGTGGCGCCCGTGCATTGCTGCCGCGGCGAAGGGGGGATCGTTGTACTCATCCTTTCATTCGAGCACATGTTTGAACCCGCTCCTGCCGAGAAAGGGCAGCTTCTGTCACGACTTATTCGGGGACCTTGTTTGCCCCTAGTTCGAAGATCCTGAAGCAAATCTAGATCCTCAAGTTTCATGACGCCCGACTGCTTCAAACCTTGGGCTTCAGGTGTGGTTACTTGTGAACATGTCCGAACAAGCCATTTGAAGACAATTCCCGCTCTCTTCTCTCGGTTCCATCTATTGATCCGTTTCTTTTCTCACCCTTTCAGAGGCCCAGATTTGCATCGGCGGCCACAGCCGTAGAGGCTCTCAGAATTTTGAGATCCTGGATCGGCTTGTCCTCTTTTCACTGATTCACGGGTTTCGCAGAGTTCATCTGATCAAAATGCTGTGGCCAGGAGACGCGACTCCCCGTCCTGGGCATTCGTAGCCACGGATCCAATCTTCTGCACAACCTCTGCGAAAAAAAATCATGACGTGTCGTGCTGGTCCGACTTCTCTCTCTGGGACCTTCATGCCACGCTTCACTCGGCCAAAGATAGCGTGCTTGCCGTCCAGTGATGGCTGGGGCCTCTGGGCCACACGACCACACGAGATGCGACGAGTGTGACAAGTGACCAGTGCAGTATAGACCGCGAGTCAGTGCAAGTGCCCGGCGACAGGGTGATAAAGAACTGAGAGCCTCTCTGCATCAGTGAAGCGGATTTCGAAGTGTCACCACAAAGGTGCACACAAGAAGGACAATGCTACAAGCTACAGCTACTCGGTGACTTCGGTGACTCCAATCCACAGTATGGTCATCATGCGAGCCGTACTTGGAGGGGTGCTCTGTTGCCCTGAGAGCTGGGCCATTGCTGTCAGGCCCTGAGTTCCTGAGCCCCGGATGTTTCTGAGAGCACGGAGTGCAACGGAGTGCAACGGAGTGCAACGGAGTGCAACGGAGTGCAACGGAGTGCGGCACCTCTGACAGCACTTCTCGCATATGTCGCACTCGGCACAGAGTTTTCCGAGGATGCAGCGCCATGGACAAAATGCCAGCTCCAGTGTGCTTGAGACCTCTCGAAGAGTTCTCAACTTTCCGCTCACGAAGTGGAGAACTTGGAAGAAGATTTTGGAAGAAGAACGCAGAGAACCTTGAAAAGGGAAGACATGTGCAAGAACTCTTTTAAGTGAATGTTCCTTTGGACTCTTCTTGGACTCTTTGTTGACTGTGCTGGCACGCTGGCGCGCCTGGGTGGATCTCGTCTTCGAAGGTCGGGCCATAGATGGACTCGCCCCCGCGCCCAGTCCCGGTCGGATCTCCTCCCTGCAAGCAAAAAACGAGAGAGAAGAGAGAGAGCTACAGAGAGAGAGCTAGAGAGAGAGCTAGAGAGGGAGAAGAGAGGGAGAGAGAAAGGAGAGAAAGAGAGAGAGAGAGAACGTCGGTGACCTGGATCACGAAGTTGGTCACAATCCGATGGAAGAGCGTGTTGTCCTTGCACGATCGTGAACCGCCACAAAAAGCTTGCAAAGCGCACCCAAACGATGCCACCAGATCCCCTTGACCCCTGCAGGCAGGCCAAGGCACAAAATAGCTCCTCTTCGCCAGCTCAAAGAAGTTCATGCCTCACGGCTCTAATTTCGCTCAGAGATGGGGAAGTAAGCCAGATGGCTCAGGCCTTTCGGCCTTTCGCCTTCGCCTTGACCAAAGCAGAGTTGGCCAAGTTGCAGGTTCTGGGCGCGTGGTTCCAGTACAGCTCCACCTTGGCAACTACAAGTAAGGAGTTTAGGGGGCTGAGAGCAACCGCCACCTCCACTTCGCCCATGGAGGTGTATAGCACCACGCCCCCTCCTACTCCTGGGAAAAAAGGGAACTGTGCAGGGAATTGGAGACAGGCAATTGGAGCAACTCTTCCAACAATGTACAGTATGCCAGCACATGCAGCATAACAATGCGACGAGCAATGGGCCAAAACCAGCCCAAAAAACCAGACTGAGCATCCAGACCGGGGATCTGAAGCCACAAGAAAGCAACTTCACAGCCTATTTTGGTGGACCATTGTGGTGTTCACTCTGTTCACACCTTCATTAATACCAACAGGAGCGTATGCTATAGTTAAGTCTTCTAACTCACGCCCGCTCATATATGAATGAACTATCTCATGGGCGAAGTGAATAAGTGAACTAGCTGAACTAGCCCGTGTCCAATTTAATATGGAACAAAGGAAAAGAACAAAGAGAAGACTAAGGAGAGCCCACTGTTAGGGCTGTGTGGTGGGGAGAAAAGATGGCCGCGCAGTCAATGTCAGGCAAGATGGTTGCTTGTTGCTTTTGCCCTCGTCGTGGCTGCGACGACGCAGCGACGCCCCCGCAATCTGAGCGTTTTAACCCCTTATGCAATCACAGACACAGGGTGCATCATGGTGTATCTTCGTTGCATGTTGGCCTCCTGTACAAGCAAGGCCAAAACCCAGCGGGAGAAAGACCATTGCCACGGACCAAAGACCCCAAAAGTCCACCCAATCAAAGCACTGCTGGGAAGTTCGTGCGTCCTTGCCAGCAACCGTGCGGGTTGTCTGTGAATCGGTAGCCAGAGTCAGCTAGAGCAACACAAGAGACCCCCGAGAACCCCGATCAGCCCAAAAATTGTCCACATGAGGGTTTAGTTTTTTTCGCAACTTGCTCTCAGTGCTCTCAGCCTTTTCCAGTCCTCCCCCAGGCACTCCTCCGCTTCCAATTGCCAGCCTGGATGCGAAGCCCAAAGCTTTCCAGAAGAGCCTCTGAGAAACCTTTAAACATTTTGAGGCGCCTTCTCAAAAATTTGCACCCAATTCGTGTCCTTACTTTGCGTCATTACGAGCTGTTACGCGCTCCGAGGCCATCGCGCCATGGCGGTGATGATCCGGCTTGAGCGGCTGCGGCGCCCGAGGAATGAGCCCATCCGAAGGGAACCATTGGGTTCCAGGGGTTTAAGCAAGTTTCATCATGGGGTCACATGACACTCTGCTCAGGCGCTCACAAAGCAGCACTTGCAAAGGTCACCTGGTACCCTCTCTTTTTGGTCCCTCTCTTGCTGCTCACCATCGCTGGCCGCTGGCATCACACCTCTGCCCAGGTCTGCAGAGTCTTTGCTGAGTCTTTGCTGAGTCTTTGCTGAGTCTTGCAGACTCAGGGTATCTCAGACTAGTCTATTCTGCGTACGGAAGTCTGCGCCTCGAGATGAGGATGGAAGGGCCGTCCACCTCTCTTCCACGCCAAGGCCTCGAGGCACCGCGAGGCCCCAAAAATTTAGAGAACCACAGAGAATCCAGAGAACATTTCAAAGTTCATCTTCCAGTTGCGAATCTCACGCGAATTTTCAAATGCTCTGTGCTGCTTCTGCCTGCCGCAAGTGGTCCTCCACCGAACGCCGGCCTGGCTCACCTGACAACAAAGCCGACACAAAGCCACAGACAAAGCAAGAGAGCAGCGGAGATTCAAATGGAAAGAACAGAAAGAACAGAATGAACAGAAAGAACAGAAAGAGCAGAAAGAACAGAATGAACTGAATGTACATGTTGAGTCACAAGACATGTCACATATGATCATATATTTGTGCATGTCAGGTGGGCGCCTTGGGCACCTCCAGCTCCCTCCCTCTCCTGTCAAGCTTGTAGACACTGTAGACAACACTCCGCTGTGTCAGCTGTGTTATGTTGCTGCCACGCTACTGCACCTCACAATGCCTCAAAAGGGTAACAGTTGACATGAGGTTCCGACATGGGGAGGGGTTGGGGGACGGTAAGCATCAGAGCACCACACGAGAATCACCGAAAACACACTGTGCCACTCTGTAGCCACTCTGTAGCCACTCACATAAACCTGCCAAGGAAGAATCCTGTTTCTGCATGTTTCTGCGCTTCGGCATCCAAGCCATTCCCGAATCCGGGAAGCTTAATAAGCCAGAGCCTCCTCCGTCGGCGCCTTTCCAGACGCTATGAAAAAGCATCGAAATCTCAGAAGACACTTGATAGCACTTTTGTTTTCGCCGTTCCTTCTTCTTCACCAGCTCGGCTTGGAGCCTTTGACATGGCTCAGTTGTAAGCACTAAGTCACTAAGGACTGATGTGTAGTCCGCGTTGTCCAGTAGCCAAGATACTGCTCCTTGTGTCGACGCTCCTTGGCGAGCTCCATGGCACGAGCGGCAGACTGCCTCCAGGAAGCTGAGAATTTGCACCGTAACAAGCCACGCCTCTACCAGAGTCTACCACAGGCCACAGCGCAGCATAGTCTGGCAGCATAGTCTGCAGCAAGAGCGCACCTCTGTGAGCGTTGAAGAGCCACGGTCAGCTGCTCAATGAGGACATTCAAAGCACCTCTCAGAAACAAAAAAGCAACAAAACAAGACAAAACACTTCTCGCCGGTGGTTGCAAGATGTTCAACTCTTCAAGCTCCGCTCTTCAAGCTCGTCGAGCTCCCGGCCAACGTCAACCTGCGGCTGTGGCTGGGCCTGAATAGAATGTCATTGGGCATTGCGGCCTAAGGAACCCAACTCTTGAACATTCAACAAGTACTCAGTTGACATTCAAACTCGACGCTCAAGTCTCTCAAGTCGCCAGCATTTTCGGTGCCGCTGTCATGCCTCTGTGAAAAGATCGCCGAGTCGCATGAGCTCGCTGTTGAAGTCGAACTCAATGTGTCGCACATCGCCGCTCCGGAGCAAGAGCGCAATGTGGGTGTCCATGATCCAGATCCCATCCACGACTGTCGCACCCCATGTCTCATCCACACTGTACACGGGCTTAATGTTTGCACCGTAGCCAAGAAAAAGAGTCACTGCTCTGGTTTCATCCATGGCTGCGACAAGAATGTGGGCGGTGCTCTCTGTCAAACCTCCATTCGGCTCCAAAGTATCGGCAAGGCTGCCGTGGCCGTGAAGGCTTTCCACATTGTGGACACTGTCCGGTCTGTCCGGTCTGTCCGGCATGGAGGGAGAAGCAGAGGACGTACTGTGAGCCCTCTCCGCAGCATGCTTTTGATGGCTTGACTCTCTCTGTCGGCTCTCTACTGGTCTCTCGTTCGGCACGTTCAAATCGCAGCTTAATGCTGCCAAGTGCGTTACAGGCGAGTGGAGTACCAAGCAGGCTTGCTGGATGCTTGCGTGCAAAGATACCCGCCACCACCGGAGAATCATTGATGTGTAGGAGACCAGAAGGCTGCAACCTCCACCGTCACTATCACTGAAATCACTGAGCAATGTAGCACAGATAGGTATGTCCGTGCGAGTCCTCAAGGGTGCTGTGTCGTCTAACAGCATTTGATCATAGACCTTCCAGTCCGAACTGAGAATGCAGAGTCGGTTACTTCTCCACAGGCAAAGCAACCCTGAAATCCCTGAATGTGTCTGATCCTCTTGATCCTCTTGGAAGGCCTGAGCCGGAATTGCCGTGACCATGACCAGCCTGTCCCGCTCTGGATCAGCTGGCCTTGTCATCCTTGCCGTTTCTTCCATTTCTTCCTCATCTGGTGCCCAGTTTGAAGCTGGTGGTGGGCCTCCGCGGTAGATGTCAATGATCTTCACGGAAGCAGCCTCGAAGTCCTCAGTCCGACATCACGGAGAATGGTAAGACTGGCAAGAGGGAAGAAAGAAGATGACAACGAGTGATTTACAGGGATGAGGGCTGGGATTATGGCAGCGTGCACGCGAGCAGCCAGCCGCAGAGCGACTTCAGGACGGCTTTCTGTCGCAGCGATGGCAACGAGTGAGTCCTGGAACGCACAGACGAAGGAGATATCTACAGAAGCTGCTCCAAAATGAGCCGCTACGGAACCCGCAGAGGCTGGAAGGGCTGGAAGGGCTGGAAGGGCTGGAAGGGCTGGAAGGGCTGGAAGGGCTGGAGCTCCAGGAGCTCCAACTGGTCCAACTGTTCCAACTGTTCCAACTGTTCCAGCTGTTCCCACCATTTCCCATGGGGGCCACTGATGCCATGGCAACTCTGCCACAGGAAGCTGCATCTGCCGCAAGAGCCGCCCAGTCCCAACACGCATGTCAAAGATCTGAAAAAGGATCTCCTTCTCCTCTTTGACTTTCACCTCAACTTTCTCCTCTTTCTCCCCTCTTTCTTTCCCTTTCTCACATCTCCCAGCAAGGGCGAAGTGGAATCTAGGCCCTGGCCCCAAAGCCGTGACTTGCACGCCCACACCCACGGTTTCGCGGGTGAGGCGCCGTTGCCTGGGCGAGGGTTCGGTGCTTAGACAGAAGCTGTGCCACGAACAGCGGTGCCGAAGGTCCCACAGCGTGATCTGGCCCGACGCCTTCTCGGCGATGACATAGAGCTGCCGCTCCGGGTTGAAGAGCGGCAGCAGCAAGGAGGTAGCGTTCCGGCACAGAGATCCCTCCACAGCCTCCCTTAGGTGATTGGGATTTGGGAGCTCGCTGGCTGTATCCCAGAGACCCGTCCAATCGCCGCTCGACGCGGACAGTGCGCTTGAGTTGTGCGGGTTTTGTGGGGACAGGAAGGTCCAAACGTGATAGCGAGGCCCTGTCTCCACGCGATCCAACTTCAGGAGCTCACGGTCCTGACTTTGGATGATCTCATCCATTGTCAGCTCCCGCCACTTGGGCAATTTCCGGGAGGCGAAAGCCTGCAAAGTGATCGTGGGCTCCAGGACCAGCGCGCAAGTTCCCCAGCAAGGGCACAGGATCGATCGGTGAGGCTCAATTAGAAGAGACTGCCCTGCACCGCCCTGGCGAAGGGGCGCATCCGCCCTCACGAAAGCCACAGGCGGTCCAGGCGGTCCTCCCCGCAGCCGCGCAGCCACCAGAGCCTCGATCCACCTGCAGAATAGATGAGATGAAAGGAGCTGGCAAAGAAGAGAACCTGCAGACAAACGAGCAGAGAAACGAGCAGAGAGCAGAGAGCAGAGAGCAGAGCAGAGAGCAGAAAAGAAACAATCGATTCTGTTGACTCAGCGCCCGCACCTGAAGCCTTGATGCCAGGCGGCAACTTGCAGCTCCGGGTGAGCCTCTTGAGAATCACTTCTTGTACCCTGTTTTGGGCTACCCGGTGGGCTGTTGTATCTGTTGCAGGTCTTGGCTATGCAAAGCATTTGCAGGTTTTCAGGATCTAGTTGCCCCGAAGTTGTTCCGAACCGTTCTGACCTTGCAAAACCTCGGCACGCCAACGCCTCGAGTCGCAAACTCTGGAAACCGTTCCGCAAAATCAGGGACCAAGGATGTTGAGACAGTTCCTAGACATGATGAAGTGGCTTTTGAGACACGTAGACGGTTACAGCATGCCTCCGCAACAGAAACCCTATGCTAACCAGCCCACCGGGTTGTCCAAACCCTAGTTGCGGCTTTTGCAAAAATCACAGCGGCTTCTTCTTGTGGACTTGTGCCCATGCGTGCCCCTTACGAATCACAATGAGGAAATGAACTCGACAACAATCAATCATTCTATGTGATTCTAACTGTGTGACTCTGGCTGTGTGACTCTACGTGATTCTATGTGTGCGGCTATATGTGTTCAAAGGCGCCACTTGCGGCGCAAAAATGGGCGGCGCCTTGGCCAGCCCGGCATCCAGCTGGATCGGGGCGCTGCAGGGGTTCAGCAGAAGGCACGGACGGGGAGACCAGCACAGCAGATTGGACCATTTCACGGAGTCCTCCACCTCGCTCCCGATCAGAAGCCCCACGGTGCCAAAGCCCTCCATGTCGAACACTGGCGCTGGACTCAATGGAGGCGCATCAATGGCACTCGCTTCTTTGCTCCCTTTGCTCCCTTTGCGGTGGAATCTCATCTCCCCCCGGCAATCAAAGACTACGCAGGTGTCGTGCACCTGCCCCTCACTTTGGCAGCGCTCCTCCACACTCCCTAAGACGATGTAGAGATTTCGCTGCTTCGCAAGCCGTGCAAGCATCATGAACGCAACATTGTCATGCGAGAGCTCGCCCTGGTTCGTGCACTGTGCCGGGTGGTCCAACGAAAACTCCGGCAACACCACCAAGTCCACTTTGCGTTGCCGGGTCTCTCTCAGTATGATGTCAAGGGTCTGTACATATGTGAGCCTCGGCGTCTGAAGGACCAACACCCGCATCTTTTGGCTTCATGGCTCAACGTGGCGTTACATGACAAGGAATCCAGACTTGGATTTGCCAGCTACGCTGCTACATATGCCTTGTACGTCTGTAAGTCTTGAACTCAGCTCTGCTGAGGCTCCCTCATGGTGAAAACAAGACGCGGGAGCACAAGCGCGGCACACGGCACACAGCGGCACACAGCGGCACACAGCGGCACACAGCGGCACACAGCGGCACACAGCACACAGCGGCACGGACACGGATCTCTTGCGCGTCTGGGGACTCGACTTAGGACTCGACTTGGACCCGGGCTGTTGGAGCGGCCTGGCAGTCTGCAGGCACCTGCAGAATTTTTTTCGCGGGGCATTCTCGATCCTTCTCACGGCTCAGGGGAACACATGGGAACACCTCAGCCCTCTCTAGGTACCTCTACGCACCTCTTAGAGGGGAGAGCCCCCGGCTTTTTTTGAAAGGGATCGTGAGAGAGAGCCGTGAGAGAGAGCCGTGAGAGCGCCGTGAGAGCGCCGTGAGAGCGGTTCGAGGGCAACTCACTTGGGGGGAAGCACTGCGGGGGCAAATCGAGGGCACGGCGAGGGCATCGAGGGCATCGAGGGCGTCATGCAGGCGCCGCTCCTGGGATGCTTTCGAAGTGACAAAAAGAAGACAGGAAGGAGTTTTTTGAGACAGAGGATGCTGAGTGTGATTCTCTCAGAAGGAAGAAGGAAATCTCCGAAATTCTCTTTCTGTTTCTTGAGAGCACACTTGCAGTGAGCAAGCAGCGGGAAAATCTTCGGCGCCTTCTCCACCAGCAGCGTCCTGAACTGAGCCACCTGCGCCATCGTCCCCCCTCCTACTCTCTAAGAGAACAAGCTCTTCATTTCAAGTAAGACGGCATTCGAGTTCACAAGGGAAATCATGGGCTTTACAAGTTGCTGCGAAAAAATGCACAAGCACACCTTCGTCAACACTTGCGCTTGCACTAAGTTTGTTTCCAGTTGCATCTAACTATCGTCGCAACCTGTTCATAGTGATCTCAAGATCAAGAACTTTCGCACAAGTACACAACCTAGAAACATCATCCACAACGGACATGGCACTTCCTCGACGTTATCGCGCCTATCGACAAATACTATTGCAGCCACGCAAGATCCATGTTGCGGCCAACCTACAACACAAATTTGAGAGGAAGACGTAAGAGAGCAATGCTTCTAAGTCTCTCGTTCAAGTTAGCGTGTGACAGCTTTCTCCAGTGATGCTTCAACCTACATTGCTGCTTCGATGAATGGGTCAGCGCTTTCGTGACGATTGATTTCCTGAACGTCTTCACTGTTCCTCTATGACTTATTGCTTTAACAACAACCGGCTTCGACCGGGTTCGTGTGTGTGTAAGTTCCGTTCCAAGGAATCTACATTGGGTTTGGTACGTGATCTTATGGTTTGTTTTCAGAGAATTTTATCGTCTGATTCAAGAAGCAGGGGGGAGTGGCCCCAGCGAAGCTGCTTTGAGTTGGGAGGATCTCCAGGCTACTCACCTGGACGCCTGCACTGTTGTTTCACTTTTTGAGTTCGAATTCGGAAGAATGACGAGACAACACGCATCAAGGATTGCACGTTTGTTCGTTTTCGAGGATTTAAGGTTTCGGATGGATTGAAGAATTGTGGTTCCGAATGTTTCGACAGCCTCACGGCTTGAACATTGAGATGGTCTAAACATAAAAAGGGCCACACAACAGAATAAAGGAACAATGACAGCAACGGATGCAAATCTTGGGACAACGACGGGCTCAACCGAGCGTGTGCGTGGCCACTCCCGAACGGCACGAGGGAGAATAGCTGCATTACATTAAGCAGGGGGGCACAGCATCAGATTCCAGACTGTGCCTAACAAAGCTATGGAATCTGATGGGAGGCGAGATCTGATCACTCTCGTGACCTGCTCAATGTTATGTTATATCATGTATTGTCTTCGCTGTGTATTGCTGCCACCATCGCTGTTGTCCACTAACGTCCTCTAGTACCGGTATCTCGGCCTGCATCTTAAGCAACTTGGCCTGTCACCAGTCAGGCAGCGACCCCAGCATCGACTCACCAAAGAACACTCAGTGTGCGGACGTATGTCCAATAGGCGGAAGGCCAGCCGTGCACCGTCTTGATCCCTTCGGGCAATGGAGGAATTTACCTCCGGTCGGCACTTCGTGCAAAGTTTCACGATGATCGGCGAAAGCCAAAGCAGCCCCCGGGCAAAGTACGCTGGTCACAAAGTACCCATATGTCCCCTGGACTCTCGTTGTGTCGTTTTCCCCCTTGTTGTTGTGTCGGTCGCGTGTTTTGTCTTTGTGTTTCTCTCTTCCTTCCGTTTCCTTTGCTGGTTTCTCCTTCTCTCACCTTCAGGTACCGGGACGGGAGGACGGGCAACATGCCGGGGTTTTTTCCCTCGGTTAGGCCTCCGGGCCGACAGTATTCCGAGATAATGCTCCTCGCCGTGAAGAAGCCTCGGCAGATTTAGCCTTGGGTGAGCCTCGGAATTAG